AACAAACAGGTTCATCTTGGAGAGAGTGATGCCAGGCTGCTCCTTGGAGGCAAGCATTCTGAAGCTTCGTGTGACATACTTTGGACATGTTGTAAGTCCTTGGAGAAGGACATCATGCTTGGGAGGGTGGAGGGACAGCGCAGGAGAGGAAGACCCTCGGTGAGATGGATTGATTCAGTGACTAGGGTAATGTGTGTAGGTGTGTCGGAGACAGTGAGATTGGCACGGGATAGAGTTGGGTTTAGGGCTGTTGTGCATAGGGTTGCTATGAGTTACAGGCAACTTGATGGCACATAACAACAACAATATATCATTCAAACATTCAAAAAATATTTGAGTATGTATGTCAAACAGACATTGGGGCAGTATTTAAAGAGATGATGGATAAGATTTTTGGAGAAGCAAAGCAAATTATACTGTGTAATGACTGTCATTTGTAGTACTAACTTATTCACTAGTAATCAATATAAAGTTCAGAAGTGTTTGCTAAATTATTTAATTGTGAAGTAGCTTATGTGGAAATCCCCAAACTGGTATAGCAACAAAAGATCAAATTATATACATTAAGTAGAAATGACGAATTTTAAATCTTTGCTATTTACACACTGGACAACCCTACATTCTTAGATTCTTTGCTTTCAGGACAAAAGTAATATTACCTTTCCATCTTCCTCACAGTGTCACACCGTAGGTGAACCCCCTACCATCAAATCAATTCATACTCCTCGGAACTCTGTAGGGTAGAGCAAAACTGCCTAATAGGGTTTCTAAACCTGTAAATCTTTATGGAGTAAATTGGCACATCTTTTTCCTTAGAAATGTCTAGTAAGTTCAAACCATAGATCTCCTGCTTAGTAACCAATTATTTTCACTTCTATGCCACTAAGATTCTTAAACTATAGTATAGTTTAAATAAAATCATTTATGTGGAAGTTCATTGACATGCTAATAACCACCAATAGATAAAATTGTTACTGTTGCTATTGATGATAATGTGTACCATCAAGTCAGAAATGACCAATAGCTGGCCCTCTAATGGGTTTTCAGAGGCAGTAAATCAAATGGGAGGAGATTGTTCCTCTTCTGTGGAGCGGCTGGTGAATTTGAACCGTATGCCTTTGCATTAGCAGTGCAGTTCCTTAAAATGCTTGCTGAAGAAGATCAAAGACTACAGCCTTCAACATGACTTGCATTTCAGCTTTCAAGAAGATAAAAATTTATACCACTGGACTAATAAGCAATATCATCAACACTCTTGGCAGCAGCGATCAGGAGCTCTGGAGACACTGGGCAAGTCCACTGTGAGGGACCACTCCAAATTACTGAGGAAGAATGATGTTAGTTTGAAGATGAAGGTGTGCATGATTCAGACCTTTGGGTTTTGTTCCTAAGTTGCTATGCATCTGAGAGCCTGTAAATGAATAAGGATGACTGAAGTCTTTGAGTTATGGATTGGAGAAAAGTACTGGCTATCCCATAATAGACTGCTGAAAGAACAAGCAGATCCATCCTAGGAAGATTGCAGCCAGGGTGCTCCTTGGAGGCAAGGATGACAAAGTTTCATCTCACATACTATGGGCAGGTTGCTTAGGAGAAACTATTCCTTGGAAAAGGACATCATGCTTGGAAAAGTGGAGACTGTGCAAAAGAGAGGAAGGCCCTCAACAAGATGGGTTGACACGATGACTACAACAATGGGCTCAGGTATGTCGCAGATTGTGAGGATGGCACAGGACAGGACAGGGATTAGATCTTTTGTTCATAGCGTCACTATGAAGTTGTACTATACTCAATGGCACCTAAAACAGCAAAACCACCAGAGCTCCCCAATTGATAAAATTAGGTGCCTTATAACATTTTTCAAAAATAAGATTATATTTGTCTTATTCCTTCTTTTAACTCATTCTTTTTTTGAGAACCATAATGGGAAAGGGCTTCATATTTATTCATTATTAGCTCAGGGAGCTCAGTGGTTGGGAATTATGCTGCCAACCCTGAGGCACATGGTTCGAATCTGCCAGCTGCTCCACACAGGAGAAGGATGGACAGTCTCCTGATGTGTGATTTCCTGCCTCTGAAAACCCACTAGAGGGTCAGTAATGAATTGGTTCTGACTCCATGGTACATAACAGTAACATCTTGGAGATGCCGGGGCAAAGTTGTGGAGATCACGTGGGTACACAGTTAATACTTAAGATGAAATCCATTGGAATTGTTTGGCATATACAATATCACACATACACAACTTCCTGTTGTACTGGTTTGTGTTCTGCCAAGTGAACTTCATTCTTTCTCCCATTTATGGAAGGTAACTCATTGGTCATTGTGGAAAGTATTGAGGATGCTTAGGAAATTGGCTCAAGCTAATGGTTCTAAAAAACATCTTATGAGGAACTAGTAAGCCTTGTGGGCAGTTGTTCTATGTTCCAAGGGGTGGGTGTGTGTGTGTGTGTGTGTGTGTGTGTGTGTGTGTGTGTGCGCGCGCGCACTTTAGTCTTTAAAAACAGAGTGGTCTGCCATTGTTTGGCTTAAGGTCACAAGGAAACAATAAAGCAAGGTTAGAAAAATGGAGGTTGGAGTGTTCTTGGATTCTTGCCAGCCTTAGCCAGTCTGTTTCATACTCATAATTATTTATGAGAAGCAGGAGTAGAGATCTCCTATTCTGTAATTCCTTAATGCTGACATCAGGTCATTGGCCTGCCTTGCAGAGTAGAAATAAATCTCTTACAGCCAGCATTAATGATTTGCATAGGTTGGCAGGTTCCTTACCTGGTAAGAGTTAGAATCCTTGCATAACCATCAACCGTAATTGGATATAGTGGAGTATGGTAGAAGCAAACGTAACAAGCAGGTTAAATAAATAGGAACTAAAAACCAAAAGTAAAATAGTGTTTACATTTACATGCAACAATGCCAAACTTGATTTTTCCCTGTAGGATATCTTCTTTGTGTAAGATTGAAAAGCAGAAACAAAACTAAGCAACAGAATAAAATTTCTACTAATAAGGGGATGACTTTGAGTTGTGGTGCTAGAGAAAAATATTGAATATAACTTGGACTGCCAAAAAACCAAACAAGTCTATCTTGGAGAAAGTATGACTAGGATGCTTCTTGAAAGTAAGGATGGTGAAACTTCATCTCACATACATACTGGTAGGAGGGGCCAGTTCTTCCAAGAACTCTTCCAAGAGGACATCATGCTTTGAAAGGCGGAAGGTCAACATATGAAGACTCTCAACAAGGTGGATAAATTGAAATTGTGACTGTAACAATAGGCTCAAGTATATCAGAGATAGAAAAGATGGCACAATCCAGATCTCTTGTTCAAAGGGTCACTATGAGTTATACTTAATTTGATGACACATAAAAACAACAGCAAGCATTACTTCTTTCTGTTCAGTGTATCTACTTCTTCGTGTGGTCTAACAGATCAGTTATTTTCTGGTAGTAGTTTTATATTCAGGTCCAGATCCATTTGGTTGTGACAGACCACCTTTTAATGTGGGTGGTTTCAACCATTTATAGTTGCAGCTTTCTTCAGTCATTCAGGGTCTGGTATTGGAGCTTCACTTTATCTTATTACTTCTACGAAACTATTAGTGTTAATCATAATCATACCAGTATAAAACACTACACTTGGTCCACTTGGCTTTAAGATTATGCAAAACATTTCTTTCCCTTTTTTTCCCCCTAAACACATTTTCTGGAATTACAAACCAAGGTATAAAACATACATTTCCTAATATATGTACTCTTTACAACTTGGTACATACCTTCAAGCTATTATTTGTTATATTTCATATTTTGATACAACTAGACATTTCACTTTAAGACAAAACGACTTTCTTTTCCTTTGAAAGGGACTCGCTACCATTCTTATCCTTGTACTTGATTATAAAGGCTTAGATATATCTCCTTTTAAATGTCTTCTACAGATTTTCAGTCAGTTCTGACTATATAGTATTTACATTCTGAAACAAGTGTTTACTTCTTAAAGGGTTCAACTCTTATTTATTCTTTAAGAAAATTTCTCTAATTCCAAGATAGTGGCCTAGTGAGTAAGGAGTTGCACTGCTAACCCAAAGGTAGGTGGTTCAAATTCATTGGCTGCTCTGTAGAAGAAAAACAGAAATTTTTCTTCTATACAATTTACAGCCTCTAAATACCTGTGGGTTGTTGTTGTTGTGTGCCGTAGAGTCAGAACTGACCCATAGTTGACCCTCCAGCAGGTTTTCAGGAGTAGTTAATTGCACAGGAAATTGCCCATCCTCCCACGGAGCAGCTGGTACCCTCGAACTGCATGCCTTCAGGATTGCAGCACAGCATCTTGCCACTAAGCCACTGGTTCCAACTCAACAGTAATGAGTGAGTGGCATTTTCAT